GATCTCTCTTTTTCCATGTGTGTGCACACTGACGCACACACAGAAGAAAGTCCATGTAAGGACACAGCAAGAAGACAGTGGTCTACAACGTAGGAAGAGAGGCCTCACTAGAAATCAACCCTGATGACATCTTAATCTTGGGCTTTCTAAACCTCCAGAATTGTGAGAAAATGAATTTCTGTTGTTTAAGCCACCTAGCCATAGTATTTTGTTATGGCCACCAGAGCAAATAAATACACATACCTTATGGAACATTTTACTATTCTGGACATTGTGAGTAAAGCGTGTCCCAAGTGAATCTTACAGCAAATTCTGTAGTAGGAGTATTGAATGGAAGTAAAAAAACAAAACAAAACAAAACAAACAAAAACAAAAACAAAAAACCCAGGTGCAATCAAGTTCCATTTCTCCCACTTTCTTTTTTCTAAGTTTATTTATTTATTTTGATGGAGAGAGTGGGGGAGGGGCAGAGAGAGAGGGAGAGAGAGAGAATCCCAAGCAGGCTCCTCTCTGTCAGTTCAGAGCCCAATGCGGGGCTCAATCCCAAGAACCATGAGATGATGACCTGAGCCGAAATCTCGGAAGCTTAACTGACTGAGCCACCCAGGCACCCCTAGTTCTGCCAGTTTCTATGTTTGTGAACCTGACAGTGACTTCACCCCTATGAGACTGGCTCTCACATCTGTAAAAGACTAAGATTCTTTCTCAAGGCCCTCATAGCTTGGAAATTCTGATTATTAATACCCAGGCAATGGTAGTGGGTATATATTATTACATATCACAAATCACTGGTTTTTCTTAGAATTATAGGTCAGACACATCACAAGAGTTGAAACCCACACCATAACAAGGAAAATCACTTAAGAGTTCCTTTATTTCTGTACTTCTATGCTTTATGTTATTGGGAAACCTGTCACTATGCCAAGGAGTTCTAGAAGCCACAATAAAAATAGGGCTCTTTTCCAAGGAATCAATTTCATAAAGATTTTGGGAGAAGAAAATGTGGACATAAAGCAAGTAATACAAACTCTGCACAAAATTTTAAAACATGACACTTTGGTGAAAGTTCAAGCTTCTGGTGGGCATATTACTCATCCACTCAATCTCTACTATTTCCTTTCTCTGCCTTTAGAAGCATTTTGATGGAAGTCTTTGTAAAATGCTGCAATAGGTAAATCTTACTAATTAGGAAAGGAGCCAATTTAGATGGGGTTTCAGATTTATATGCCTGTAGATTTTATTTACAAGTAGATTGATAGAAAAAGGTTGCTAGTAGATTGATAGAAAAAATACTGATTGAAAAAAATTATTCTACAGTCACACCTCTATGACCAGACAGGCAATTCTCAAAAGTATGCAGTTCATCAAAAGGAAGGCAGTGTGGGATTGTGGTCAACTCAGGGAAAATGGACTGTAACTCAAAACACAACTCTTTTCAGGGAGGCCATTATAGGGACATCTGTAATATTTAAGGTGCCAGTTTATCTTTCCCTTTTTTTGGTTTCCCTTTGGTCTTGATCAGACTGTCCCACAAGACCTACTGTCCCTTAGCAGGGATGAACATGTAACCCAAGTTAAGCCAATTAGCCTCTCCTTCTGAGGATATGACTCTTGAGAAGAGGGAAGCAAACACTGGTAATAGCAAGAGCTCTTCATTCGGCACAGAGAACCTCGAAGAAGCTGAGGGCCTCTCCATTACATCATTCTGTCTGGGGCCCTGGAGCAGTTCTGATCCCTGTTCTTCCCAGATTCTTCAGTTTTCCTTTGATTCTGTGGGCTATTCCCAATCTTTCTAATACTTGCTTGCTTGCTTAAGTTGGAGTATGTCTCTATTGCTTACAGTCAAAAGCCAGTAGTGTAGATCTGCAGGCATCAGCTTCATATACAAAAGTCATCATCTTATGTGAAAAAATGAGCTACTCTATTTGCAGGAAGTTAGTGAGATGGCAATTTATTTGGCATTATTATTTGTGTAGATTTCAGTATAAAACACTAATTACCTTTTAAGTGGAAGGAATCTTATATCTTCTTACCATTGTCCCTTTCTCCTTTCCTCCCCCCACCTCAATTTACTTCAACTCTGATTTCATTCTTTTTGTTTTTAATTTTTTTTTAATGTTTATTTATTTTTGAGACAGAGAGAGACAGAGCATGAACGGGGGAGGGTCAGAAAGAGAGGGAGACACAGAATCCAAAGCAGGCTCCAGGCTCTGAGCACAGGCTCTGAGCCTCAGCACAGAGCCCCACATGGGGCTCAAACTCATGGACCGTGAGATCATGACCTGAGCTAAGTCAGACGCTTAACTGACTGAGCCACCCAGGTGCCCCTCTGATTTCATTCTTTAAAAAAAAAAAAAAAAAAAAACTTACAAAAAAGACTCTTGCGTATCTAAATTTATTGTATATTTCTGCTTAGGAGATTGAACGCTATAAAACTTCATGTGGAGCACAGAGCATTTTTAAGGCAGTGAAACTACTCTGCTACTATTATGATGGACACAGGTTGTCATACATTTGTCCAGGTCCCCAGAATGTATGCCTCCAAGAGTGAACCCGCACGTAAACTATGGACTTCAGTTGATGATGATGTGTCAATGTAGGTTCATCAATTGTAATAAATGTTCCACTTTGAAGGGGGATGTTGCAATGGGGGAGTCTATACATGTGTGGAGATAGGGGGTATATGGGAACTTTCTATACCTTGGTCTCAGCTATGCTATGAACCTAAAATTGCTCTAAAATGAAGTCTATTAGAAAAAATTTTTTTTCTAAACTGTAGGCAAAGCTCATACTTAATCTATTTCATAATCATAATAATCATCATCCATGTTGATTCTGATGCTGGAGTGCTCTTCTGGTTTTGATTTCTTTTTGGTTTCTTTGTTTTTCTCGGTTAGATGTAGTTGATGCTCACATTGTCTCATGATCTTTTTGGAGGACATCCAGCTTTCCCCTTGTCGTTCAGCTGGTGCAGCACATTGTCCCCCCTTCACATCTGTGCCCTTGGCCTTCAGGATCTCCCTCGCTCTTATGAGACTACAGGTACAATTCCACGGATTTCCATCCAGATACAGGTGTCTGAGGCGAGGCAACCCCTCCAAGGCTTTGAGGTCTAAGGCAGAAATCTTGTTATTCCTAAGGTTTAGAACCTGAAGCTGCTTCAGATCCTTGAGGTCCCTCTCAGTAATATCCTGGATGGCATTGCCTTTGAGGTCCAGCCTGGCTAAGGTCCCTGGAAGCCTGCAAAAGTATGGAAACAGGATGTGAGAGGAAGCCATGATCACCATTCCATAACTACCTAGGCAACCCGGACTGAGCAACACCAGCCTTTTCTGTACCACCATGTCCTGTTTGAAGCTAGAAAACAAGACTTGTTTTGAAAAATTAAGTCTTATGTATAGGTCTTTAACCCTTTCTCATAGGTCTTGTTTTCTAACCCTCTGAGTTTTCTGGTTCCTAGCCATAAAACTCTTTAATTTCTTTTGTTGTCAAATAGGATCACAGAAACAAATTGATAAGAAAAAAAGTTCCCAATTTTTTAGGTGGCAAAGGCCACGAATCCATAATTTATAAGAGAAAAAAAGTATTGAATAAAAACATGAAAAAGTGTTGTTCTTCATGAATATAAAAGGCAATGAAAAAGTGATGCAATGTTTTATGTATGAAATTAGAACATGGCTTTGGTTAATTTTTTTTTAATGTGTATTTATTTTGAGAGAGAGGGTGGGCACCCACAGTGAGGAGCCCAATGTGGGGCTCAAACTCACGAACCATAAGATCATGACCTGAGCCAAAATCAAAAGATCATCAAGACCCAGATGCTTAACCAGCAGAGTCACCCAGGCACCCTGGTTTTAAATTTTTATATTTATTGCTGCTGAAGAGGTTGTAAGGTAAGAACTTAAAACTCTATTGGTGGGAGTTTAAATTGGTACCATTTTGGAAACAATTTGGTACTATGTATCAAATTTAAATAATGTCATACCTTTCAACCTAGGAGATAACAGAAGCAAACAGATTTATTTGCAAACATGTTTGTCACATATTTAATTATACTTATAATGGCAAAAAAAAAGGATAGACTAATGTCTCCTAATATGTAAATTAAGAGATAATAAACTTATGTGACAATAAAAATCATATACTTAAATCATTTTTGAAGTACTAATTCTATGAGAAAGCTTTTCTAACTATGGCTTGAAAATCCAGAAGCTATAAAAGATCAGTGAATCAATGACATTAAACCTAATTAAAAAAAAGAAATTGTGAATAGCAAAAGACATATGCAAAGTCAGAAGATAAATTATAAACTGGGGGAAAATATCTGCACCTTAAAACACAGACAAAGTGCGGCACCCGGTGGCTCAGTCGGTTAAGTGTCCAACTTCAGCTCAGGTCATGATCTCACAGCTCGTGAATTCAAATCCTGTATCGGTTTCTGTGCTGACAGCTCAGAGCCTGGAGCCTGCTTCAGATTCTGTCTCCCTCTCTCTCTACCTCTAGCCCATATGAGCTCTCTCTCTCTCTCAAAATAAATTAAAAGAAAAACCAAAACACAGAAAAGCAAAGCCCTGAAGTCTTCAACCATACTCAAAATAGAGAAATGAAAAATAAAACCACACAGAGATGCCATTTCTCACCTACCAGATTGGTAAAAATCTTAATCTCTAGCAACACATTCTGTGGGCAAAGCTGTGAAGGAACAGACATTCTCATACACAGAGACTAAAGTAGCATAGCCCCTATGGAGGAGAATTCAGCAAAGCCTAAAGAAATAACCTGTGTATTCACCCTTCAACCCAGAAATCTCACTTCTACATATATGGTTCACAAATATAAAACAGCATATATGTGTTTATTATGGTATTACTTATAATACAAAATGATTGGAAACAACCCAGTACAACAGTGAAAAACTACTATGCAGCCTTAAAAAAGGAAGGGACTCATTCTTATGAATTACTACAAAATGATTTCCAGAAAGTATGGTTAAGGGGAAAAAGCAAGAAGTGGAATTGTATGTACAGTATGTGTAAGAGGGAAATAAAAATACATGTCCATATATTTGCTTATGTTTGGGGGAAAAAAGAATGATAAACCAGAAGCGAATAAAACTGGTTACTTATAGGAAGTGTTTGCATATGGTTTTAACTTTTGAATCGTGTTAATGTTTTACATGTTCACAAAACAAAAATGGTAAAGCAAAAACAAGCCCTAAAACTGAATACAAACAGAAACAAACATATCTAATTAATCAATGTTTATGTTGGTGTATAACCAATAAAGGAAAGAAAAAGTACTCTGACTAAATATCCTTGGTGGATATATCTAAGCCTTAGACACTAGGGACAAAAGTATCTGCAAGGAAACTTCTCTTAGCATGCTTATTATTAACACCACCTAGTAATGAAATTTTGAAACTTTTTAAATGAATGCTCTAATACAAAACAAATAAGTAAATGTATTCATATCATTAGGAACCAAGATTTCATTGTAAAAGAAGGTATGCAAATATAAAATAAGAAAAGCCCTCTAATGTTAAATGTGAATTGGAGATTTTAATATGAATTCATAGCTTAAAAATACATATTTCCTAATTCTGCATACTGGAAGGATCTAGAAATAAAGTTACACTCTAATGGCAATGCTATTCCAATAGCATAGCACACTGAACACCCAGATCTTAATTTCAGAATTCCAGTTTCCACTTAAAAGAAGCAAGGCTTCTTAGAGAAATGGCTTATTCTATGTCTGGAGCAAGGTAAGCTAGAACATCTGAGCCAGAATGCAATGACATATTCAAAGATAAGCAATATCCATCAGCATGGCTGCTATCAAAAATCCAGAAAATAACAATTGTTGATGAGGATATGGAGAAATTAGAACCTTTGTGCACTGTAGGAGGCAATGTAAAATGGTGTAGTCGCTATGGAAAACAGTATGGTGCTTCCCCCAAAAATTAAAAATAGAATTATCCCGTGATCCAGCAATTCCATTTCTGGGTACATACTCAAAAGAATTGAAAGCATGATTGGTCTCAAAGAGATATTTACATATTAAATAATCTTGTACATTGTTTACATGTTATTCACCCATATTAAATTCACAATAGCTAAAATGTGGAAGCAATCCAAATGTACATTGACCATGAATTGATAGGCAAAATACAAGATGTACATACAATGGAATAGTCAACCTTACAAAGGAAGGAAATTCCGGGGCACCTGGGTGGCTCCGTAGGTTAAGTGCCCTGACTTGAGCTCAGTTCATGAATTCAAGCCCCGTGTCAGGCTCTGTGCTGACAGCTCTGAGCCAGGAGCCTGCTTTGGATTCTGTCGCCCTCTCTCTGTCCTTCCCCCGCTCACACTCTGTCTCTCTCTCTCAAAAATAAATAAACATTAAAAAACATTAAAAAACAAACTAAAAAATGAAAAAAAAACCCAAAACAAAAAACAAACAAAACAAAACAAAAAACCAAAGGCAATTCTGATACATTCTACAACATGGATAAACCTTGAGGACATTATGCTAAGCGAAAAAAGCCTAGCACAAAAAAGACAACTACTATAGTTCCACTTCTATGAGATTTCTAGAGTAGTCAAATTCATAGAAACAGAAAGTATAATGGTGGTTGTCAGAGGCTGGGGGAGGGGGAAACAGGGAGTTGCTTAATGAGTGTGGAGTTTCAGTTTTGCAAAATGAAAAAGTTCTGGAGACCAATTACACAACAATAAGAAGGTATTTTACTGAACTGGACAGTTAAAAATGGTTAAGTAAATTGTATGTGTATTTGACCTCAATTTTTAAAAAAGAGAAATAACGGAGGAGCACCACCAGACACTTGATTTCGTCTCAGGTCATGATCTCACGGTTTGTGGGATCAAGCTCTGCATTGGGCTCTGCCCTGACAGTGCATAGCCTACTTGGGATTCTCTCTCTCCCTCTCTCTCTGCCCTTCCCCAGCTCTCAGGCACACATGTACTCACTCGCTCACCAGCTCTCTCTCTCAAAAATAAATAAACATTAAAAAAATTTTTAAGAGAAATAATGGAATCGGGTCTCATGAACACAGGGACCACCTTGGAGGGGCACCCACTAGACAAATGTGGAGCAATTTGAGAATCAAAAGAGACTAGCAACTAGAAATGATCATAACACACTGAAAAAATTAAGATTTCTTAGGTCCATAGTGATACTCAGAAAAAGTAGAAAGGGTAAAGGGAGAGAAAAATACTCTATAATGTTCAATGGAAAAAATAGAAAAAAAACAAAATTAAATGATCTCAAATACATAAAAACAAATTATGTCTAGACATAGGCTCCTGTTGAGCAATTCTTGGATGATATTTCATTTTTCAACAGATGAAGTTTTCAGCCTTGAACAGGTACTGCTTTACAATCAAGAAAAAAAAAAGTTTTTCACTGTGGATACCAATGTGAAAAATGTCATGCTAATGCTTATTGATAAAAAGTAAAAAAAAAAAAAAAAGGAAGCACAATTGTGAACCTGAAAATTTTTCTGCTACTCAACAGCTTCATATTCTCCTATTTCCAGATGCTATTTCCATAGAGTGTGAACCCCCTGAATGTGCACTCATGTCTTTTAGTATTCAGTGACATTTATTGTGGTGGTCCCGGTTATATGATGATTGTATATTTTATGTTAATATCCTAAACTGTACAGTGAATATACATATATAAGTATTTGTGATTTTGATTATTTATTTAAAGTGTTGTCACCTTAGTTGGAATAAAGTTTACCTTAAAAAGTAGATGAACTTACCAGGGAAAAATCACTTCTTTCATTTTAACAGTTGATAGTTAAATTTATATAACATTTATTTTTTATTTTATTTAAATTTTATGTATTTTGAGAGAAACAGAGAGAGAGAGAGAGAGAGAGAGAGAGAACAAGTGGGGGAGGGGCAGAGAGAAGGAGAGACAGAATCCCAAGTAGGCTCTGGGCCATCAGTGCAGAGCCCAATGCGGGGCTTGAACTCAGGAACCTGAGTTGAGATCAAGAGTCGGACACTTAACCAGCTGCACCACCCAGGAGCGCCAACAGTTTGATAGTTAAATTTAATTTGAAGTCAGTCCCCAAGACAATGTATTTTATGTACATACCAACTGACATAAGGTACATCCCTAAAAGTTATAAAGAAAATCTTATGTATAGCTTTTTTCCCCAAGGAAATATGGACTATTAGCAGATGGTGTAGCAGTAAGCAAGACACTATTACCCTTCAGAGTACAAGGGAGAGAAATTGAGGAAAGATATGATAAAGTAAACCAAAGAGTCCAGTCTACTAATTAAGACTTGAGTTCTAACTTTGGCCATTCTTTTTACCAGTACGCAACTTCAGGTAAGTTATTTGGCTTAAAGTTTCTGATTTTCCACCCTATAGATGAAAGTGCCTAGTACACAGAAGTCACATAATAAATGTTAGCTAATGAAAATGAGAAAGCCAAGTTTTCTTTTAAACAAATATAATGAACAGTTCTAGGGTGGGTATCTAAAACTTATACCTGCTCTTCCTTTTTTTTTTCTTCTGTGTTTCTATGGACATTATAACCAAAATGACACTGTAAGAGAAATCACTAATGTCCTGATTTTGTGAACTTAGGGCATTTATTGCTTTGATATACTTTGTCTTTATAAGTCTGATTTATGCTCAAAAAGTTTCCCTGATTTTAAGACAAATGTGTTTCTAAAAATGCTGTTTGTTCTTTGGATCTGTGGCTTTTTAAGGTAAAAAGGGGTACACCCCATTTTACCAGTAGATGGCACCTGAGTGTAAGTAAGGTAAAATGCTATGCCTGTGTTAGGTTGTAGAAAGCTATTCTGGATTTGAATTATCCAAATTGTGGGTAAAGAAAAGGTGATGTGACTTATATTTGTTCACTGAGCTACAGACTGGTGAAATGAAAAGCAGCAAAAGTGAGACCCAGGTCTTGGGCATTCTAAGTTTTAAGTAGTATAATATATTGTTTATAGCAGAGTAAATCTCAGAGGTGGTAAATCTCACGTGGTGGCTAAAATTCACTGACTCTGGAGTTAGACTACTGTGTTTGATCTTGACTCCACCACTTACTGACAATGTGATTTTGAGCAAGTTTCTTGATACCTCCTAACCTTAATGTTCTAACCTGTAAAATAATAGTTTAAAAAATGTACGTACATTCGCAGGTTTGTTGTAAAGAGTAATGGGAAATAACATGCATATATGAACTCACTGCTGGTTTAGTCAGTACTTAATGTTATGTTAGGTATTATTTTTTCTTTTTTTTTCATGGTTATTAATTTGTTTTTGAAAGAGAGAGAGAGAGCGAGAGAGAGCGTGCGCACAAGTGGGGGGGGGGGCAGAGAGAGGGAGACACAATCTGAAGCAGGCTCCAGGCTCTAAGCTGTCAGCTCGGAGCCCATCGTGGAGCTTGAACTCACGAATCGTGGGATCATGATCTGAGCAGAAGTTGGAGGTTTGAATGAGCCACCCAGAAGCCCCTCGGTATTATTTTCTATTTCGAACAATGTATTGAGGCAAAAGTAGTAGATATTTGAATATATGTGCACCTGAAAACATCCACTGTTATTTCCTTGGTACAATGTAGAATGGAGGATGGTCGGCAAAAGAAGGGGTTTGTGATTTGTGGTAGGATACATAGCTAGCAACTAAGCAACAAATTAGGTTAGGTTAGCAACTAGTAACAGGTTGCCTGTGTTTATAGTTTATTAATACAAAACTGAATTTTAAAGTACAATTTTGTGTATGAATAAAACCCATGAAAATAAAAAGTGTCCTGTTTTAAGTTTGTGGATAAAAGTCTTAACATTCAGAAATTAAAAAAAAAAAAAAAAAAAAAAAAAACAAACCAAACAGATCGTACTGTGTTTTAATGCTTTATGGGAGGAAAACCACAGAGAACCTTTTCTGGGTCATTCACACTTTCCAATTCAAAGAAAAGCTGGGGAGGTTGGGGGGTGATGGAGAATTTAAAAATCACTTTCCACAAGAAGCAGATTGCTCTCACAGCTGGCCAAGTTCTTTGACAAAGTAGATAGCTGTGATGCTTAAATTAATCCTCATAGGAAAAGCCCAGTCTCATCTCATGTCCTTTGCCCCATTGTTCTTGCCCATTACTTCTCAACCCTGGCTGCACATTAAATTGATCTTGGGAGCTTTTTAAAAATGCTGATGCCTGGGCAAAAACTCTTGGGTGTCTGCTTTAATTGGCTTGAAGTGAGGTCTGGGCATAAGTATGCTTTTTTAAAGTTCTCCAGATAATTGTAATGTGGAGTAAGATTCAAGAATTATGGCTAGCTCAGGCTTGCAATTCTATTATACACTCCATTGGGTAAAAGCGTTGTGCTTTCTGTAGTCACTTATTAAACACACAAATGCCCTGGCGGGAGTAAATAATTAAGCTACTTTTCACTCATTAAACTTAGCAGGATTACTTAGCCAAATGCTTTCTAAAAGCTACCTGAATAGAGAAGTCCACTGGATTCACAGTTTTGCCATGGCTGTTACAGCCCACTGAGAATCCTTGACAAGAGAGTCATTCCCCAATCTCTTTCATGAGTTTTTAGTCTATATGTGATTTGTTTTTTCTTGGAAAAGGGGCATATAGTGATAGAAAATAAGGCTTGAAATACAGTAGAGAAATGACTGAAATTACAAGTATTAGAGTCTTGACACACTGCAGGCATGTTCTTTATGGCTTTTGTATCAGCTCTTCTGTCTAGAACACTTTCCTCCCCCACCCCCCACAAACAGCCTCACAGCTAAATCCCTCACCTCCTTCCAGTCTTTGCTCAAAGCTTACATTTTCGTGAGGGTTACCACGCTTACCCTATTTCAAATGGCAACCAGCCACCCTTTTTTGTTGTTGCTAACTATAACACCTAACACCATGTAAATGTTATATACGTACACCTTGTGTTTATGGTTACTCTTTCCCTGCTAGAATTTAAGCTGTATAGAACAAGAAGTTTTATTTTTGTTGCACTGGTGTATCTCAAGTGCCTGGTAAAGTACCTGGCACAAGGAAAACACTCAAAACTTATTCGTTGAAGTAAATTAATTGTATGCATATGCTTATACATTAAAAGAAATTGCTTAATTTCAAATAACCCTGAATATGTATTTTAAAATCTTGATTTCCATTGGATAAATCATTTTTTCATGTTTTGCATTGGGTACAGTTACCATACTATATAACAAGCTTCTTTTTTTCAACTAGAAAAAATGAACATCTGGGGGAGCCTGGGTGGCTAGTCGGTTAAGCGGCTGACTTCAGCTCAGGTCATGATCTCGCGGTCCGTGAGTTCAAGCCCCGTGTCGGACTCTGTGCTGACAGCTCAGAGCCTAGAGCCTGCTTCGGATTCTGTGACTTCCTTTCTCTCTGCCCCTCTCCCACTCGTGCTCACTCTGTCTGTCTTTCTTTCTCTCAAAAATGAACATTAAAAAAATCTTTTTAAAGAAAAAATGAACATCTGTACATACCAAAGATAATTTTTCCCTTTTTCATTCATAAAAAAAGTTGTTTATTGTAACTAGCAACGCAGATAAGTAAATTGAGTGCCATAGGGTCTTACAGAAGCCAGAAGTTGGTATATTAATTACAAGCAATTTGATAATGATAATCAACAGAGCAAGATGCCTTTTTTTCCTATAAAGCACCAAAAGGAAAACGAGTCCACTGATAGGCACATATAATAAATAACATAACATCTTTTTAAGAGAATAATAGGGCTTTAATCTTCTACTTTATTATCTACTTTACAAATGTGGAACATGTAATAAAGTTTACATAAAAAGCATCAATTAATGTCAACATGTACATTAGTCATAGTTATGACTGGGTGGGGGAACAGGATGGTGGGTTGGGCACAGAGGGAGGGATATTTGGAAAGAGAAATTAAGTGTCAGAGTATGAGGATATGTATGTGTTTGTGTCCATATGTGCAGGAGTGTGTGTGTATGCGTGTTTGTGAGAGAGAGAACTGAGGAGACAACCGAGAACACAAGGTGAGACACCCCAAATGGACTCACACACCCACAGGCAGACACAGATAGAAGCAGAACCAGGATTAAGTCCTTTAAAGATCACAGCCCTGAGAAGAAAACGAGTCTCCCAAAAACAGAATTCCAAGTAAATACAAGATGAGATTATACACTTCTGATTTTTTTCATAGCTACTATTTCAATGCTTTTAAAAATATAGATATTTTACTACACTTCCCTCTCATTTCTTTTACATACCCTTGCTTTGCTAGTGGCTGTGTACCTGTTGCTGGATCTCAGGCCACATGCTTAAAAACCAAAATACATTTTTACAAATATTACCCCATATTATGTTTGTTAGCATACTCCGCCAAAGTGGCGTTGTATATTTTCAAATACAGATCGCCCCTGTTGGTGTCTTGTCTGACAGGTGAGAGCAATTAAGTTAGTGCAGATTCAGTTAGAGGGCTGGGGATTCCAAAAGCCCATCTAAAACCTCTACCCTGGAACCCTTGGATAGCCTTCATCAGATCATTTATGTTTGTTCTGTTTTTCTTGCTTGTATGATGTGCTTAATTGCCCCAATCTTCAGAAAACGTTAAAAGGAGTCAACATAAGTGAGAACTCTCCCTTACCTTAGAGGTATAGACAACAGCAGGTTCTGTTCCAGGGCCAGGTTGGAGAGCTGGGAACACATCTGCAGGGCTCCAGCTTCGAACAAGCTGACAATGTTGTTGTCCAGAAACAAGTGTTTCAAGTCTCGGAGGTCCTGGAAGTCTTGGGCTGTAACTCTCTGAATCAGATTATTGCTAATATCTAGTTTTTGTAGCCTTGCTGGTAGTTTAAGGGGCAACGTTTGAACCTGGTTTTGGGACAACTCAAGAGTAGTTAAATTGGCAAGGATCTGTGCCCCATCAATGGAGGAGAGTGAGTTTTCTGACAGATAAAGGTGGGAAAGATTCTCCAAGTGTCTCATGTCTCGAAACCTTACCACTTTGAGCTGGTTTCTCTCCATTTTTAAAGAGAGCAAGGATTTGGGCAGATTAATAGGAATTTTAGTCAGAAAATTACCACTGACACTGAGAAATTGCAAAGCCTGAAGAGAAGCAAAGAAGCTAGATGGTATAAGATGCAGTTTATTATTCTCCAGGCTCATACTTTTCAGGTGGGGAAGTACCAGTGGTCCAGCTACAGATTCGATAATGTTGCCATCCAACATCAAACTCTGCAAACTGATCAAAGAAGAGAGTGTGCTGGGAGAGAGAGAAGAGATCAGATTGTTTTTAAGTTCAAGGATTTTTAATTTCTTCAGTCCTTCAAAATCAGATCCGTGTAGGACATTTATTGAATTCTCATTTAGTTTTAACACTTCAAGACTGGCTGGCAGAACCCTGGGGACTCGTCTTAACTTATTTTTCCAGAGTTCCAAGGTCTTCAAGGTACTCAGAGTTTTGAAAGTGTCATTTTCTACTGACTCTGTTCCACTGGCCAGCAGAATAAAATCTTCTAGAGCCAACATTCGGGTGAAGCTAGACAGCTACAAAAAAAAAAAAAAAAAAAAAAAAAAAAAAAAAAAAAAAAAAAAAAAAAAAAAAAAAAAAGCAGGTATGGAGAGAAAAATAGAAAATTAAGACTACTGAGAAAAAAAAATACCGTACACAATGAAATGCAGTTGTCATTCAATACTAATGATACTTCAGATTTCCTTTCAGGACCTCTTGAAAATTTTTAGAAGAGGATGGAAACTCAGGTTCTGACTACTTTTTTTTGAAGATTTTATTTTTAAGTAATTTCTGCTCCCAACGTGGGGCTCAAACTTACAACCCCAAGATCAAGAGTCACATGCTCCTCCTCCTGAGCCAGCCATGCACCCCAGGTCCTGACTAGTTTTATTCATGATTGCTAACATGAAGGATATTAAAAATATGTTAAGCACTTTTACACACTATTGGTAGACATAATACTAGCCAACTTTTTGGAGTGCTTCGGTGGCTCAGTTGGTTCGGTGTCTTGACCTCAGTTCAGGTCATGATCTCACAGCTCATGGGTTTGAGCCCTGCATCAGGCTCTGTGCTAACAGCTTGGAGCTTGGAGCCTGCTTTGGATTCTGTCTCCCTCTCTCTCTCTCTCTGCCCCTCTTCCACTCATGCTCTGTCTCTCTCTCTCTCTCTCCTTCAAAAATAAACATTAAATTTTTGAAGGAGAGAGAGAGAGGAAAAATTAAAAATTTTTTTATATTGGTCAACTTTTGCTGTATATTCTCTGACCAGCAAGCTTATTTCTAGCCAGAAGTACTTACTAGTTGCACAATGATTTATGAAGCAGGATGTTCTTTGTGGCATCATCTTATAATAGCCCCAAATGGGAACAATCTGGAAATCTTTCACCAAACTATTAGCAGCTGCTAACTCTACAGTGCAAGATTACTAGAGGTTTTCATTATCTTCATTTTGCATTGTTTATATATTTTTAAGTTATAAATTACATTAAAATATTTTAAGCATTAAACATAAACATTTTAAATGTCCTAGACACTGCTGTCACTAAGATGGGCCTATTAGAGAAACATTTCAACTATGTTATAATTTGAAAAACTAGCCTCCATATTCCCTATTGTTCAAACTGTACTTCATTGATGCAAAAGATCCATGAAGGAACAAACAGGATACACGTGTCTCCATCTCTGTAGAACAAAGATTCCATTCACGCATATACCCCAGATCTAATGCTATTCTTGTCCTAGATTTTAGAAATGATCAAATCTGATATGCTTTCTCCATAGGTTGCAAGTTCAAGTACCCCTCTCCTCTCCACATATCTGTCAACCTCCTAGCTTGCCATCTAGGTCTTCTTCTGAATGATGTAGTTCTTGGTATTTGGTTCTTAGAGTAAGATCATCTCTAGGCAGAAAGAGGAATTGTTCCAGATTTCCTTCAGCTTGGTAAAACTTCACAAAAATTTTCAATCTGCTTTAGAATTCAATTGCTAAAATTTTCAGGGCACAATTTTATGCCTTACTGGCTACAGGTTTTAAATGTTTGATTTAATTATGCAGTTGAGCCCTTTTGTAATAACAATTGCATGATTAACACTTTCAAAGTGGGTTAATTTTGTACCATATATTTATTTATCCCGGGAAGACATGTGATGTGAATTATGGTAGATTTTATTTTATTTTTATTTTCTTAAGGAGTCGGGGAGAGGGAGAGAGAAACCCAAGCAGACTCCATGTCCAGTGTGGAGCCCGACGCGGGGCTTGATTTCACGACCGAGAGATCTTTACCTGAGCCAAAATCAAGAGTCAGACGCTTAATTGACTGAGCCACCCAGGCACCGAATCATGGTATATTTCAAAGCTTCTCCTAATATGATACTCTGTTAGAAAAACCTCATGTTAAAATTTCCATAACAGATGTTTCTAATCATAATAGTTTTGGCGGCTGCTAACATGTGATATTTTCTTAATGATTAATCAGATGTATTAATTAGTCCTAGTCCCAGTAATAATCATAATTTTTTCTTGCATTTATTGAACATCTACAAGTGCCAAGTGCTTTTTTATATTGTTAAAAAAAAAAAAAAAAAACATAAGCCCCAAATGGAGTCATTTGCTCCCCACCCGCGATGGCAAATCAAGACTTAATTATAGTTTTGACCTCTCCTAAAAATGTGACCTTTTAGGGGCATGTGGGTGGCTCAGTCAGTTAAGCCTCAGACTCTTGATTTCAGCTCAGGTCATGATCTCACAGTTCATGAGATAGAGCCCCACATCAGGCTCTGTGCTGACAGTGCGGAGCCTGCTTGGGGTTCTCTCTCTCCCTCTTTCTCTGCCCCTCCCCAGCTCGTTCTTTCTCTGTCTCTCACTCAAAAATAAATAAATAAACATCAAAAAATTTTTTTAAAAATATGACTTTTTAAGAGTCAATCTGAAATTTCTTCATCAGCATTAGTGAGGCAATCACCATGATAAAAACGCTTTCCATCCCTTCTTCCCCAAAGAAACTTGACCTGCCTGAAACCATCCTTACTTTTGTTTTGTTAATAACTCCTTTGCTCTACCCTCCTGCCTATAAATCCTCCCATGTGGTACAACTTCTCAGAGCATCTCTGCTTGCTAGATGAGATGTTGCCTGACTCATGCATCACTTATTATTAGATCTTCAAATGTACTCAGTGCATTTTGTGTTTTAACATATTATTATCATTAGTTCTTCTAATAACTAGCAAATTTGCTATTATCAAACTTTTGAGAGTTGAGAATTTCAACAAGGTCTATTGGACTCTACAGCCCTTTCTTCTTCAACTTACCATTCTCTATTGCATTTAGTCTACAGTTAATGGTTTTCAAAAAAGATAAGATCTAGACACAAATCAGAGAGTTTTAGAAAAGCAGAAATTTTAGGGGTACCTGGGTGGCTCAGTCAGTTAAGCATCTGACTTTGGCTCAGGTCATGATCTTACAGTCTGTGAGTTTGAGCCCCGAGTTGGGCTCTGTGGTGACAGCTCAGAGCCTGGAGCCTGCTTCAGATTCTGTTTCTCTCTCTCTCTGCCCCTCCCCCGCTCACGCTCTTCCTGTCTCTCTCAAAAATAAAAATAAACATTAAAAGAAAAATTAAAAAAAA